GTGACGGACGCCCACATGGCATGCGGTTTCCTGGGGGGGGGTCTCTCTGGCTCCATGCCCCTTCCTCCTCCCTCAGCCCCTCCTTCATGCTGCTTTGGACGCTCCCTGCCCTCTCCTTCCCCCACTTTGAGTCAGACAGAGATGTAACCCTTCATGTGCAGAGACCCTGATTCTAGAGAGGAGGTCCCACTAGTCTGTGCCGTGGTCCCTCCTGCTGCTGGTAGAGAAGACGTCAGGCTTCTTGTGACGTGGGAGTTCTCTGGGGAGACAGCGCCCTTATGCTCCTCTCCTGTGAGTGTCCTGGACCGTGGACGTTCCCACTGCAGCCTTGACCAGGGTTCCTCTTGAAGCTAGATTACTCATTAGCAGAGAAGCCGCAGAGACCTCCATTCCACACAGCTGGGCCTCACCTTCTCTGCAGGCCTGGGCCTTCCAGGGTCCTCTGAGGTTGGCTTGGCAGTGGGTGAGGTGGTGTTGGGGAAAACACTGGCATGCGGCCTCAATGGAATAGAACCTCGAAGCTGAGAGTGGATGTGGGGTAGCTGTAGACTGACCCCACCTGTTCTGTCCTGCGGTTGAGGGAACATCAGAGTGGGAAGGCTACCACCTGACTCTCAGATAAGCCTTCTCACTTGTCTGGGTCCTGCAGGGGTCAGACCTGAATGGGAATGTCCCAGATCTCCAGCACTCTTGAGGGTGGTGGTGCCTGGGTGTGTCGGCTGACTGTGCTCCCAGCCTCTGCCCTCTCTGCCAAGATGAAGGGAGAGGGAGAAGGGAGAGCCCTTGCATGGGCTCTGCCACTACTTGGGGCTGTGGGAGCAGCTATCTAAGATGGCAGGAGCTGGGGGTGGGTGGTAAGTACAAAGCCCCATCCAGGATGAAAGAGGTGCTGCTGGTCTGACTTAGGATGGGAGCCAACCGGGAACTACTGCGATCCTCTGGGAGAGAGGCTTCTCCAGCAGGTGGGCCCCAGTGATGTGGCTCATCACCAAGGATGCCATGACTGGGTCCTACGAGGCCAAGAAGTGGGGTCCCTTCCCCAAGACAGAGTCTGGGTGAGGCCAGCTGCCTCTTTTGCTGTCCCATCCTCTCCTGGATCAGGGCCCAAAGTGACCTGGGTGATCAAGAAGGCAGCCAAGCCTCTACACAGCCTCCCTTCCTCCATCTCAGAAATGGATGTAAACTCTGCCCAGATGGGATGGCCTCTGGGTCGGAGGTGCCTACAGAGAGGACTCAACGGAATCCATGGTTGTCGTTGCTGACTTAAAAGGCCTGTATAGGACAGCAAGCAGCCCGCACGGCTCCCAACGAGCTCTGGCGGTACAGGCCTCCGTGCTTGTGCTGCTAACCCCAAGGCTGTGTCCACCAGTGCTTGGACAACTTCCTGAGTTACAGCCTGGACACCCGGAGCTGGGTCAGCTGAGCCCACCAACTCCACCCCATGAAATGGAGTTTGAAACCTCTCCAGCAGCAGCCACTTCCTCTTTGTCTGGGAGCAGCCACCCCAGGGCTCATCCAGAGAGGATCAAATGATTGCCATGGGTGCCATTTCCGGACATGGTCACCTCTGCGCCCACCTCTTGCTCTCAGAGTGGCTGGTGGATTTGAACTTGTGCACAAGGGCTCCGGAGTAGACTAGGGGAGGGGACAGGAAGGGGTTTGCTCCACCACCTGGCTGATGGAGCCTCAGGCTGTGCCTAGCTCTGCGGGCCCTTACAGAGCTGTCCTTGGGAAGGGGCCCTGGGACAACCTGTCTCCCAGCACACGGGCTACTGTATTGACTGCTCACTAGTGTGGACAGCAGGGTCTCTGTATGTCCACTGCGACCCCTCTGTGTACTAGCCACCTTCTGGTGGTGCCATCTGTGACCATCTGTTCTGAAAATTTCACAAACAAATCTTGGAGCCCTCCTGTGTGTGTGTGTGTGTGTGTTTGTGTGTGTGTGTGTGTGTGTGTGTGTACCCCTGTGCACGCTCCTGGGCCTTGCGGTGCGTGAGGCGGGGTGAGGAATCCTGGGCAGGACCTTAAAATCCCATTTCTGAAGAAGGTTCCTGGTAAGAGCTGGTCGTGGGAGTCTGGCAGAGCTGGGACCTTCTGTGGGATTTATCTGGCCCTGACTTTGGCCCCATGCATTCTGGTCACTGATGGTTGAAAGGGCTCCACGTTGGTAGTGTGGTCAGGTCAGCTGCTGCTTTGTGCTCAGAGTTTCTGAGGTGGTGAGTGACCTGGGTCTTTCACCTGGAGGAAGATTTTTCACTGTATGAAGCACTGACCCTCCTGGACTGGCTCTGGGCACCTTGTGTGGGAGTGCATGGCAGACCCAGGGCCCCCACCATCTGTGGGGACAGTACCAGGTATCTTCCTTCATTCTCATGCTGTACCCCCACTCTCCATCCTGCAGTCTGGGCAGACTTCACCTTGGCCAACTTCCAGAACTTGCTCTCCCCTCTGGCTGTAACTCCCCTCACTCCTGGCCTCTAGCAGGCCACACTCCTTAATTCTGTGGACCTGTCCCAGTGGACCTTCGGGAGACCCGGCTGTGCCCACCACATGTGGCTGGTTGGTTCTGTTGTCTTCCTTTGTCACCCTCTTGCTGATGCGAAGTCTGCCCCTCCTGGAGTCTCCTCCAGGGTCTGCTTTGACAAAAGACACCCCTGGGCCCGCAGGCTCATCCCTGCGCCTATCGGAAGACAGTGAGCAGACAGAGGAGTTACCATTGAAAGCACTTGAGACGTCCGGACATTGTTTTCCCAGGGCTCAGTTAACTGAATAAATTGGCTAATGAGCAAAGGAAATTAATTGTGGTTTTGAAATAGCATGTCTCTGCGTGTGTGCTGTCTGCTAGCTCAGGGGGCTGTTGTCCACCACCAGCACCTCTGGGGGCTGCATCCAGGATGCGCCTGGGTGTCCCTGCACCAAGTGCAGCGTCATGGGTCCGTGGCGAGTTGAGAGTTATGGCACCGGAAGGCTGGCACCACTTTGGGTGCTGTAGCATGGCACAGGCCTTCCTGGGCAGGGGCTGAGGAAGAGCCGTGGGTTCTAGGAGCTGGGATGCTGTGAGGAGAGGAGGTGGGGTGAGGGGACAGGGTTGTGGTGGAAGTAGTGACTAGGCAAAGGGGAGGAGCTGGGATGAAAGGGAGGCATTGAGGCTCAAAGGGATGGAGAGGCTGGGAGGTGGGGTGAAGGGGCCAGAGCTGGTGCAACCAAGGCTGGAGTGATGCAACAGAATTGGAATAGGGGGGAACAGGGTGCCTTGTGTGACCAGACACTTCCCTTCGGGGACTCCTTCCTATTTCCCGCCTGCAGCCTCTTGCCTCACAAAGCGCTTGAGGTCTCCCACCCCTTGCTCCTGTCCTGCTTTGGGCTCCCATCCACTTGGGGCCTGCCTTCCTTCTTCTAGAAGCATTACCCTGGGTACCCTTCTCTGGGGATGGAGGACTGGGGATGGGGTCCTGAGGGAGGCGCCTGCCTGAGGTGGGGGTGGGGTGCAGGCCTGGAGCTGGGAGGTTCCCAGTGTGCGGTCTCACTTCTGGACATCAATCAGCAAGTTTCCTGCTGGAGCAGCTGAGTCAGCATGTCCACGTCACTACCCTCCCACCAGGCTCTGTCCTATCCCAGGTCCAAGTGATGTGGCCTTTCTGCCAGGACAGTGATCTGATCCCCCTGCACTGGGGGGATGCAAGCACAGAACAAAAGGAACGGAGCAACCATTGAGAGTCTTCTGAACAAACAATACCTGAGCACGACCAGAAGAGGGTGTTCTCTCTCTAGAAGTCCCCCCTTTTTTTTTTTAGAATTTCCTCTTTAGAAAGATTTTGCACCTGAACGACAAAAGGAGGTGCCACAAAATAACTTGATTTTCAACCCTGGAGGCCTTAAGAACAAAACACAGTGAAAATAGTGTCCTCCACTCCGACTCAGATGTGGAGGTGGGGGTGTGGGAGTGGAGACAGGCCCACGGGGCCCGCATCCCACCACTCTGTGGACAGGACCACAGGCTGTATCTGCCAGCACCCAGCCACGCCAAGGGACTGCTTCTGGAGCTGGCACCAATTCCCTCAGTGAAAGCACAGCACCCACCAGGGATGAAGGACCCTGAAGGAATGCTGTGGAGTTAGCGGACACATCAGCAAGTGGCCAAGTCTCCTGTGCCTTCGTCCGGATGCCTGTTTGAGCAGAAACATGTCCTGAGCTGTGAGCTGTGTGAGAACTTTGGTCTGGGTATCGTGATATTAAGGAGTTGGTAAAGGTATTCCAGTCTTCAAACCTCTGACACTTTGAAGTCCCTGGGTGGTGCAAACTGGATGGTGTGTGATCAGAATTAACTCAGAGCCTCTTGGAGGAAAGGCCTGGCCATTTTCTCCACAGCTGAGGACACATGGTGACTTGAGGGCTGTCAACTTACCAACATCCAGTTTCCTGTTCGGTTTTGACGTCTCAGAAACATGCACAAAATCCCTGCTGCCTGCCATAGATTGCATCGTGGTCCAGTGGGTGTGAATGTGGGCCAGGCGGATGATGTAGGGCACCCCACACCCCACTTTTTTCATGACCAAATGCTTTCTAGTGAGCTTCATTGACACAGCTGCCCCTGGACACCTGCAGGGGCGGGCCAACCTGAGAAAGGACAGGGGAGTGGTTCCAGCAGGGCCTGGGTGAGCAGGACTGGACGGAACGGGTCCTTGAGAGAGCAAGGAAAGGAAGAATTCCAAACAGAGGGAATTGGCCCCTGTGGTAGAAGTGGCCGGGTGTGGCTGCGGTGAGAGCTGCGTGCGGTGAGGTCAGCTCCACTCCGCTGACTTTGAAGCAGCAGCCCGGGCAGAGAACAGGGAGCAGGTATTGGCTTTTCGAGGCCGCTCTGAGTCGTCTCCTGTGTGCAGGCTGTTCTGGGTCTGAACCAGGGCAGCGCGGTTCCTCCGGTCCTTCTCTCGCGCTTCTCCGGGTGGGAGGTGGAGTCAGCGCCCAGGCCCCGCCCGCTCTGACCGCGCTCCTCCCGCCAGGTTCCTGCTGGTCTTCTCCTGCCTGGTGTTGTCTGTGTTCTCCACCATCAAGGAGTATGAGAAGAGCTCCGAGGGCGCCCTGTACATCCTGGTGAGCGATGCGCTCAGCCTGGTGGGCCGGCAGCGGGATAGGGGTGTGACCTTGCCTTCATCGCCCTTCCCTCTGAAGCCGGGCTATTCTCTGACCTGAGCGCGAAAGTCCAGGGAAGGGACACCCCCTCCCTTGCACCTACAGATCCTGCTGTGGGTCCATTCTGAGTGGTGGTCCTTCAGCTCCCTCACCTGCCTCTCTGCGCATCCGCAGATCATCCCCGGTTGTGTGAGATTCAGTACTCACCCTTCCCTTCTTGGTGGCCCTGCTGACAATTCCTCCTCCCCCACCTACTCTATGACCTGAATTTCTAGGGGATCCCATCAAAGAGAACTGGGATGTCCAACAGGTGTGGGCTCTGGGAGCGGGAGAGATCTGCTAAAGTGTCCAGCCCAGCGCTGTCCAAGGCCAGCTTGCCTTACAGGCCCTTTTGGGGGCTCTGACCCTCAAAGTGTTGAGGGTGCCTCCTGCACCTGGCCAGCGCTGAGCATGTCCCGTCCTGCAGGAAATCGTGACCATTGTGGTGTTCGGTGTGGAGTACTTTGTGCGCATCTGGGCCGCGGGCTGCTGCTGCCGCTACCGCGGATGGCGAGGACGCCTCAAGTTCGCACGGAAGCCCTTCTGTGTCATTGGTGAGACTCGAGAGGGTAGCCAGGGCAGGACCCACACACACACACCGTGGGGCCACAGGGACGACGTGCCCTCCCTCCTGGAGCTGGAGCAACCAGAAGACTGGGTGGGTGGGTGGGGGGACAGGTGGCATCACTCCTGGGGATGCTGGGGGGTGCAGGGAGGCCTGACCTGAGACCCCAGTGGGGCGTTGGTGCTGGGGGGGCAGAGGCTGCCCTGGGTGGATAGAGGCTGCGGGCGTTTCGGAGAGGTGCATCTGGTCCCGTCCTCTTTGGGCCTGCCTCCTCTCCACACCAAGTTCACCTCCCACTGCCCATGACTTTCCTACCCCAGTGGGCCACCTGGTTCGTTTGTCCCCCCCCAGCTCCGCCCCCATTGGGGCTGCCCACTTCGTTGCACAAGCCCTGCCCCTTTCCCCGCCCCTTGCCCTCTTCTGAGCTCTTGCTTGCACACACTGCCGCCTCCTCCCTCCTCCGCCTCTAGCCCTTCCCACCCCACCCCACCACCCCTCCGCCCGCTCTGCCCTCGCCCGCCTCCCCACCGCTCCTTGGCCCACGAGCTGCCCACCGTCCGCAGACATCATGGTCCTCATCGCCTCTATCGCTGTGCTGGCCGCTGGCTCTCAAGGCAACGTCTTCGCCACGTCCGCGCTGCGGAGTCTGCGCTTCCTGCAAATTCTGCGGATGATCCGCATGGACCGAAGGGGGGGCACGTGGAAGCTGCTGGGGTCTGTGGTCTACGCGCATAGCAAGGTGAGCTGCAGGACCGTGGACGCCCCCTCGGACCACCTGGGACCCGCCCTGCCCGCCTCCAGGTGGGCTCCACGGGTGGATTAAGGGAAGCTGGTGGCATTCAGTGGTCTCCACCCCACCCCCACCCCCGCTCTTTTCGCGTCCCAACTGGCCTGTCCCCACACTTCCCAGAATTGAGACACAAGGCCTCTCTGGCTGGAGCCAACGACCTGGGCTCTGTGCTCCCTCTCCCAGGATTTCAGTGCCCGCAGAGTTCTGCGGGGACCCCTGGAGCCTCAGTGTAAGCTTCAGGGTGTGAAGGCCGAGTCGTGGGTCCCCCCAGGCCAACTCTTTGCTCTTCTTTCCAGCTCTGTGGCAGTGTGTGTGTGTGTGTGTGTAGGGGGGAGGCGGACTACCCAAGACCACCCAAGTCTAATGTGGCTCCTCCTGGGAGTCCATGACCTTTGGTGGTCTGGAGGTGGATTTGGGCAGCCGACTGTGAGTGGGCGCCAGCTCAGCAGTGTGACCTGTCCATCTGCCTCGCAGGAGCTGGTCACCGCCTGGTACATCGGCTTCCTCTGCCTCATTCTAGCTTCTTTCCTGGTGTACTTGGCAGAGAAAGGGGAGAATGACCACTTTGACACCTATGCGGATGCCCTCTGGTGGGGCCTGGTGAGTCGTGTTCACTGAAGGACTGAGGCACACTGGCTGTCTTTTCCAGTGCCCTGAGGACTGCCCTTCTGTTCCCTGGGGTTTGGCTAAGCCAGAGGGGACATCCCTCAGAGGCCATCTGCTGGCAGCTGTGACTACAGAGGCTATGCTGCAGCCTCCCCCACCCACCCTGTTTCGAGTGACACAAGATGTTCCTTCTCCTGTTCTTTGACTCAGGAACTGAGACTTTGGAGTGAAGGCCACAGACAGGTGGTTTCTGCCATGCCTAACTCTCAAACCTCTCTCTCTCTCATAAACGTGAGGATGTAGGCTTCTTTCCTTCGAGGCCGTGCCCTGGGGCCAGATCTCCCTGGCCAGGAAGACCCTACACAATCATTCTCCAGCTCAGTTGCGAGAGAAGGGCTTAAACCCGGGCACTGGCCGCCTGCAGGCCTTCCACCCCCAGCATGTCCTGGCACACATGCCAGCCTCCTTCTCCCTGGCTTGCCTGTTGTCACTGTCACCATCTCATCCTCTGCCTGCCTCTGGTCACCTGGTACATTGTGGTTTCTGCACCCCAGTTTCTCTGTGCTCCACACTCCCTTCATCCCCACCTGCCCTTCTGACCTTAGCTCACAGGCAGCCTTGCCAGGCCTCCTGTCCCCCTCCCTCCTGGAGTTTACCTTCCCCAGCCTGCACAGCACTTCTGACTCTGAGGGCCTAGGGCCTAGCTGAACTAACCTGACTGCTAACCGCTGCTCCCCAGAGCCCAAGCCCTGTGTGGGGTGCCTTGGGCTGAAACCCTTGCCTCCCCATGGGCTGCAAGGTGCAATGGGGCCAGGCTTGTTTGCCTGGCTCTTGGGGTGAAATGGACAGAGGTTTTTTGATCCCTTCCTCTCTGGCTTGAAGAGATTTGGATTCTTGTGTAATCTCATGCTGGCCTCAGCCCTGTACCCCATCCTTGTTGGCCTGTCTCTCTTATAGAGAGTGGTGATGTCCACTTGGGACAGACATGTGGTTAAAACCCAATAACTGGAGCTTGGTGTTCTCAGATAACCTTGACGACCATCGGCTACGGGGACAAGTACCCCCAGACCTGGAATGGGAGGCTCCTGGCAGCCACCTTTACCCTCATCGGTGTTTCCTTCTTCGCCCTCCCTGCGGTGAGCCCCCTACTTGGACAGGGCTGCTGGTTGGTCAGAGTGGGACCCCAAAGGAGTCTACCAGGCTCCTAGCTGACACTAAGCCAACCTCGCTCTGCCCCTCAGAGGGACAGGAGGTACTGCCCACAGGGGTATGGTTCAGGAGGTAATGCCTATAGGGCCCCAACATGTTGGGTTCTAGGGGTCCCCAGGACAAATTCTGAGCCTGATGAGTTTGAGGGTGTGGGCCCTAAGATGCTGTCTGACTCCAGTGATTTGCAGGGCATTTTGGGGTCTGGCTTTGCCCTCAAAGTTCAAGAGCAGCATCGGCAGAAACACTTTGAGAAGCGGCGGAATCCTGCGGCTGGCCTGATCCAGGTGAGTCCAGAGAGGCTCAGCCTGGTCCTAGCATCTGGGCACTGAGAGTGCTGAGGGCCTGGGGTGAGAAATTTGGCTGGAAGCATTGCTCCCCTTTGGGGTCCCAGATCTGTGACCCTCCATGCTGCAGGGACAGTCAGGATAGGGAGGGCGTTTGGAGCATGGAGCCCTCTGGGAAGAAGAGGTGTGGGCGCCATGCTGGTGCTGGAGGTGGGGAGACTGTGATCGTGAGGAGTCAGGGCCACGAGGGCCACTTCTCACGTGTCTCCACCTCATCATGCCTATCACGTGGACGTGGAGGGTGGACACGGTGGTGTGGGACCTGATGTCTTACTTAGAGATAGCAGTGAGTTCTGCCCCTACCTGCCTCCCATGGTATGCTGTGCTGGGCATAGCAACTCTGCAGTGATCACACAGAACCCACGTTCATACTCATGGTTTTGAAGTTTGTTAAGGAAGTAGAAAGTCACAATTTGGCATCAAGACTGACTCAGGATGCAGGTCATCAGAACAGCTTCCTGGCTCTGCCCATAGGCCATCTCTCCCTGGTCCTTGGCTTCTCAGTCCTCAACCACTCAGTTCTCTTGGACTGACCTTGTTTTCCCCATGCCTGAGCGAGTATTAGGAAGCTCTCTAGCCCCCTGCTAAATGCCCAGGAGCACCTCATTGCTGTGAGAAAGTACTCTGCTCTCTCGCTCTTTAGTCTGCCTAGCATCATTGACCAATGCCCAGAGTTTTCTGCCTAGTGCCCAGCTCTTGCCTAGAGGAGGGAAGCCCCTGGCTCTGTGGGAGGGAAGCCCCTGCACCATTTCACCAGTTCTCTCAGTTAGGGTGCTGTTTCGCTGCTGCTTGTCACGTCTTGTGTTGTGCCTGGTGCCACAGTTCTCTGTCTCCTGGGTTGAGAGATTCCTGAATGTTGGTGGTGGTTGTGAAGTCCCCTTTCCCACCTCTCAGTGACACGCTGAAATTCAAAGGTAATGCCTAAATGTGAGTCAGAGCAGGGCTCTTTCTGGGAGGTGGTAAGGGATCAGACACTCCTGCAGGCTACCCCAAGTCCCCAGACCTCCCAGTGACCTTCACAGTGACCAGAACCTCCTGCCTGTGCACATATCCAGCCCCGCGAGTCTCTGAATATGTAACCCCTGTGGACTTGGTCCTGGGTGCCACCTTCACGGAGGCATCTCAACAGCACATCACACAACTATTTGATTATTATTATTAATACAAAAGTACAAACAGTAAAACGCCTATAATCACACATTTTTAACAAGAAAAGGGGCCACATGTGTACGTGGTAGAAATATTGAAACTGGGCCATCTCCTACAACTCTTCTCCAAGCCTGCTCCCAGAAGAGTGACATCCCCTGCGTGACCAGGGCCACCCAGTCCTGACCCATGGTGACCTCAGACACACTGGAGAGACCCATCTGTCTTCACCCGTGGTAATGTTGGGTGAATTATGAATGGCTGAGCTTTCAGAAACAGAGAGCCAGATCTTTCTTTCAAGCTCCTCTGGCCTGGAGGCTCCAAGCTTTCCTTTAGCTGCAGAGCACATGGGCTCATCATCACCCTACATGGAAACTCCATGCCTCTGCATGTGTCCTGCAAGTTTTAGACTGGAGAGGGATGCCCCACACTCTGTGGGTCTGAGAGACTGAAGACTTGAGGCCATGCTTTGGCCTCGGGCAAGGCGTCAGGTGCTCCCAGAGGAAAGCTATAAGGCTGTGCAGGCTGCAGAGAAATGCCTCTGCTCATATGTGTGCAGCCACAGAAATGCCTGCAGAAGCTTGGCCAGACCCGAGAGTCCTGAGTGCTTGTCCTGTTGTTCCACCAGTGAGGAGCTCCCCTTCTGCAAGCCGGGCTCACAAGCCATGACTGGAAGAGTACTTAGCTCCCACTGGGGAGGGTGGGTAAAGAGGTCTGGACAGCTGCTTCTCTCAGGGGAGTAACCTGGCATGATTCCTGCCTCTTGGAGAAGAAAAGGCCTCTGGGAAGCTGGAACCCTCCATGCTGTCATGGCACCTGTGTCTTCCCAGAAGTCAAGGCATTCAGGCAGCCTCTGCCTCACAGCCTTTGAACACAGTCCTAGCAGAAAAAACACCTTTTCTCAAGGCGTGGGGCCTCCTGGGAGGTCTAGCCAGCTGTTACAGCACCAGCAGGTAGAGATTCTGTCAGGCTGTGAGTTCTCCCAGGGCTGAGGCAGGCGTATGAGGATGGTGATCCAGGCATATTTTCTTTCTCTGATCAGCAGTCACTTTAAGTGTAAAGAGATTACTCTTCAGTGAAAAGCAGAGATTAGAAGGATGAATTTAAAAAGACTATCTACTGTCTGCAAGAGACATACTTCAGATACAGACTTACACAGATGGATTGAAGTATCTCACAAAAACCTGAGACAGCTATGCTAACACTAGACTAAATAGACTGTAATTTAGACCATTACAAGAAACCAAGAAGGACATGATACAATGATAAGGGAGTCATCCATCAAGGATATACAATAATTATAAAACATATATAACAAAGCAAAATCTTGCTGAAGATTATTCAAAAAATGACTGGAAAAGTAATCAACGGAGAACTGCCAGAAATACAAACTGGGTTTAGAAGAGGTTGCGTGGCACTAGGGACATCATAGCCAATGTCAGATAGATTGTGGCTGAAAGTACAGAGTACCAGGAATGTTTGTTTGTACTTAATTGACTATGCAAAGGCATTTGACTATGTGGATCACAATAAATTGTGGCTAACATTGAGAAGAATGGGAATCCCAGAACACTTGATTGTGCTCATGTGAAACCCATACTTGGACCAGGAAGTAGTCTTATGAACAGAGCAAGGAAACACTGCATGGTTCAAAATCAGGGAAGTTGTGCATTTGGGGTATGTTCTTTCTCCAGGCCTTTTCACTATATGTGGAACAGATCATTTGGGAGGCTGAGCTTTATGAGGAGGAGTGTGGCCTCAGGATTGGAGGAAGACTCATCGGTAATAATCTGTGTTATGCAGATGACACACTCTGCTCACTGAAACTGAGGATGACTTGAGGCTTTTGCTAGAGACGGTCAATAACTACAGTCGTCAGTATAGATTGCACCTCAATATCAAGAAAACAAAGATTCTCACCACTGGGCCAATTGGCAGTATCATGATAGGTGGAGAGGAGATTGAAGTTGTTAATGATTTCATCTTTCTCAGCTCCACAATCAACACTCTTGCCACCAGCAGCCAGACGAGTTACACTGGGAACATCTACTGTCAGGGACCTCTCCAGAACGCTATGGAGCAATGATGTCAGTCTAGAGACTAAGTATCTCTGATAGGAGCTATGGTCTTTGCAATTACTTGCTATGCATCTGAGAGCTGGATGATGACTAAGGATGACAGAAGAAGAATTAATGCCTTTGAGTTGTGGTGCTGGAGGTGAATCTTGAACATTCCATGGAGCACCAAGAGAACAAAAAGGTTATGTTGTGGGCAGGCTGAAACCAAGTTGCTCCTTGGAGGCAAGGATTTGTCTCACATACTTTGAGCATGTTGCCAGGAGGAACCAGTCATTGCAGAGGGACATCATGCTCAGAAGGGTGGAGGGTCAATGCAGCAGAGGAGGACGCTGGATGAGGTAGATTGACACAGTGACTGGAGCAATAGGGGCAGATGTATCAGAGATGGTGAGATTGGCCCAGAATAGGGCAGGGTTCAGTTTCGCTGTCCATAGGACCAGTAGGAGTGGTAGTCGACTTGATGGCACATAAGCAACAACAACGACCACCCAAAACTCCACTGCTGTTGAGTTGTTTCAGACCCATGACAACACTGAATTTTTGAGGCTGTTACTCTGTACTTGAAAAGATTGCCTATCTTTCTCCTATGGAGGCGGCTAGTGATTTTGAACTGCCAGTGTTTTAGTTAGCAACTTGTATCCAGGTACCCCTCCAGAACTCCTTCCTATCTATCCAGAGAGCCCCAAAATACATGAATAGAAAAACCTGATCAGCATTGGAGAGACCACAGTTCAACAGTGAGAGTTGGGAGTCTTCACCATCTCATGTCCAAAATGGATAGACCATGTGCCCAAGAAAGCAGGGAGCTGAAGATGTGGACAGCACTGTACTGAGGCGAGCAGACTGACCAGTGAGTAAGCAGGGAGCCGAGGATGTGGACAGCACTATACTGAGGCCAGCAGACTGACCAGTGCAGCTGCACACACTCCTCTCATGTGCACATGGAACACTCTGGGAACAGGCCAAAAGCAGGGTTACCCAGACTGAAACCACAGTCTTTTCTCTGGCCAGAGTGCATGGAGAGTGGATAAGAGCAAAGCAAATGGAAATCTGGAAAATTCACAGGTTTGTGGAACTTAAACAATTCACTGGTAAACACCTCAAAGATGAACTCCCAAAGGAAATGTGAAGCTGCTTTGATATGAACGAAAACAGAAGCACAGCACAGTGATACCTGTAAGGGACAGTGAGACCTGTGTGTCAGTAAATGGCCAAGCTAAAGATGAGTTTTCAGAAGAGGCTCAAACTGATACCTCAAGCACCTAGATAAAGACCAAGCTAAATCAAAAGCGAGCAGAAGAAAGTGGGAGACTGGAGCAGTGGTGACTGAAATAGGGGGTAGGAAAACAGTAGAAAGAAGCCAGGGACCCAAGAAGTTGGTTCTCTGAGTTCAACAAGGGTGACAGGCCCTTTAGTGAGACTGACATCACCCCTGACCTGCAGAAGCAAAAATGACTGTGAGAGCAGTGAGCAATCTCAGGCCTACAAATTGGGGAACCTAGATGACACAGACAAGGCTTAAAACACACAGGCTAAAAAAATTTAAAAAACCCAAACACACAGGCTGCCTACACGACCGAGGAAATGGCAGAAGGCAGTAGACACGTGACAAAGAGAAGAGGAATGGGGAGGGGGCAGAGGCTGGGGAGGGCAGGAAATCACTAGAGGGCATGGTGGGCAGAGGGAGAATGAACGAATTAGGAAAGATGCAATGGGGACCTGAAAAGATAATAGTAGGCACAGATCAATGGTGATTAAGTTCATAAAACACAATGTACACGAGTGATCATTTGGAACAGTGTGAACGTAGAAGAATGTGTGACATACAGTGTGTTTGAATTTTGTATGCAAACCAATACAAATAAAAAGAAAATGGGGGAGCAAACGAGGCAGGGCCCCTACTGCCCAAACATGTCTGACCACGACTGACTGTGGGACTCTAAGAAGCTCTAAGAAAACAAGCAACGGTGAATACGAACTTCATGAACTATGCAAGTAAACTAGTATAAAATTTAAAAAACATTTTAAAAAAAGAATAATACAAACCTATGTTTCTAACAGAGAAAAGTCCAGTGTCAGAGTGAATTCTCCCAATCATTTAAAAAATGGTCACCAACACTTCACAAACACTGCCAAAACTTGGGGATAGGAAAGGGTATATTTCCCTGATCCCAACGTCAGATAAAACACTGCTTTTGAATGTAGGTGCAAAAATCTCAGGAAAACACCACGAGATGGAACGCAGCAGCATACTGAAAAGTTATACTCCCGGACAGGTGGGGCTTATTCCAGGACTGCAAGGATGCTTTGACTTAAGATCAGTTCATCAGTGGACCACCTTAGTGGAAGGGAAGAACAATGACATCACTCTGAACCTGGGGGACTTGCCATGAGAAGAGGTGACCCCAGACCCTCTCCATTCTTCAAGCCCCCATTTCCCACCCTGCCTCCCCACCCCTCCAGTCAAGTTTGAGGGAGCAGTCTCAAAGCCAAGGAGGTGTATGTGTGCGGGTATCTTACAACTCCTGGTTCCCAGGGCAGGGAGACAAGGCCCTTCTGTGGGTGCAGCTCCCTAGGTCCAGCCTTTCAGGATGTTTGCATCCTCCCCTATGCCCATCAATAAGATGGATTACTACTGTGACTGCAGGAATGGGCTCAAATATGTCAGAGATGGTGAAGATGGCACTGGATAGGGCAGGGTTTAGAGCTGTTCTTAGAGGGATGCTATGAGTCGCAGCCGATTCAAAAGCACCAGTAATACCCCCGTATCCCTTCACAGTCAGCCTGGAGGTTCTATGCCACCAACCTGTCCCGGACAGACCTGCATTCCACCTGGCAGTACTATGAACGCACCGTCACCGTGCCCATGTACAGGTACTCAGCGCCAGCGCCCAGTCTTCTGTGTGATGATTGGAGCCATGGTTCTCTTTAGTTTCCATTTGTTCTGGTATCATTTTTTGGTTTGTTCATTATTTTGATTAATTTTGTTTCTTTTTTCTTTACAGTGTGTGTATTTCCATAAGGAACTGTGGTTTATTTCAAGTACTGGTTCTGTTCCTCGTTTCGTGTGCTGTGGGCTTTGTTTCTGCCTCCAGCCCTCACCCCCTACCCCTTACCTTGTGTCCTTTGCTGTCAGCTATGTTGTGAGGGACTTTTGCTGACAGGCCCTGAGGGCCCCTGGGAGGTACGGCCCCCTTTGCTGGGCACCACTGTACTGTGGGCATGCCCATCCCTGCCCAGGCTCCCCTCCACCAGGCTCCCTGCAGGGGTTGAGAATGAGTACTGTCTGAGGCAAATTTTTGGTGACAGCACCAAAACACTGTACGACTGGGGACCCCAGGCACCCCAGCAGGGCACAGTATACATCATAGAGATGCCTCAGGTCCAGATGGCCTGTGGGAGCTGGACTGTTAGCATAAACTCTGGGGTCACGTGGCACTTAGGCCTCCTCTGACATCATGCTGGACCAGGTGCCTCTGGGCTAGGCATTGCCCTCATCCTTGCCCACATGATTCTGGGAACTTACAAGTCCCAGGGTTAATGTATGTATGGGGCTTCTGCCCATCAGAAACCTTCATGCATGGTGCGGGCAGAGCCCAGCTGAGACTTTTGATGGCTAGCAGACAGGGTCTTCTTAGAGCCTCACCATCATCAGCGGTCAGACATGTTGGGCACTTAGGAGCTCTGCTTCACTTGCTCCCCCTCCTCTGCAGGAGTGAGAACCCCCCACAGCCTGGTGGCCGCTCACCCCTCAGCATCCTTCTGCTGGACACTTTCTGGGTTAAGGCACTCGGCTCTTGGGGGCAGGGCGCTGCACACGGAACCGTTAGGACAACACTGCCCCGTGAGGTGTAAGGGACACCAGGGCTCTGTCAGTCTAGGCGGGGGACAAAGCACCCTGATAATTTCCTTGTTCTGTTTGTCTCCCCACTTTCCCAATTTTTCTTTTCCTTTTCTTTTTCTGATCCCACTCTTGTTTAATTTCCTTTCTTTCCCTTTGTGTGCGTGTGAACACTTGAAAAGCTCACAAGCCCAATCGTATGGGGCCTCCAGGTAGGAACGCATGTGGTGTGACCCCACGTGTGCTGTAGTTGCTCGTTTGTCTGGGGTCAGAGACTGGCCAGCCCAGGTGGCCCGCAGGGCCAGAGGGCTGTCACCTGGATACCACCCCCTCCCTCGGGGATCCCTTCCTTCCCCTCCCCCCTTTCCCTGGTTGACCTCTCCCTCAATGCTCTGTAGGCTGCTCGTCCCTTGGCTCCTGCTGACCGTCCTCTCTGGGTGCTCCCTGCCCCACCCCCACCCCAGGGCCGAGATGAGGTATCCCATAGTCCTAGCTCAGAGTCCCAGGTCCTTTCTTGCCAGCAGGGAGACTGGACGTTGGTGTGAGGGGTGCATGTCTGGCCTCTACCAGGGTTCTTCCTCTGTGAAGCCCCCACCATCTCAGGACAGCAGTGGGTGAGGATGGGTCCGTGCTTCTCCTCCCTACTGCTCTGGCTTATGCATCTGCCCCAGGTGACTCTCATCTGAAGGTGGGAAAGGGGGCTGCTTCCCCAGGTGTGAGAGTTGGGATTGCAGGAAGCTTCATGCTGGATGTGGTGACAAGAGTGGACAGCCACTCAGGCCAGGGCAAGTCCTCCCGGGAATCCTGCCCTGTGGGCAGCATGTCTGCACTGTGCTCCCAGCAGGGTGATGACCCGGCTGCTCTGAGGGGCTGCCTGTCAACCCTAAGAACCTCCCCCACCACACCTTTGGATGCTGCTGCAGCTCTCAGAGGCCACGTGTGAGCAAAGGTGATGGGGGCTCCTGGAATCTGGATACTGACTCAGTCCATCTTCACAGAGAGCTCACTCCCACGACTGAGGTGTCCTGTATGTGGAGGCTGACCCTGGGGTCCTGGGGTGTCTTCTGTAGCTGGCTGCCCCCCACTGCCCTGACATCACCCCCAGGGTGTCCCTCAGCCCTCTCTGACTGCACCCTCACCGACCTCCTCCCCACTGACACACTGTACCTCACCCACTATCTGGCTCACCTGGTGGAGCTCTGTGCACGTGTGGTGTGGGCATGTGCGTGTGCACGTGTGTGCGTGTGCGTGTGCGTGTGCACGGCCTCGCCCATCTATCCTTGGTGCTGCTGCTTGTGTGTCCAGGCATGTTCTGTCTGGCTATGAGGTGCTGACCCCCATGTCTCTACCCAGACCCTTGGACCCTGCCCAACTCAACACCCCAAGGGGTTGGGGGCTCTGAGCCAAGCCCTGGGCGGTATGCAGCCTCTTCTGAGCTGGCTAACCCTCTACTCACTCCAGGGCCTCCTGCTCTTAACCCATGACCCATGGGGTGGGCAGACCCTCTGGGACAGAGAGCGCGTGTGCTGGGGGTAAGATACAAGCTCCCTAGCCAGCCACTGGCCCAGGAATCTACTGGGGCATCAGGGGACAGAAGGACCCTGGCACCAGGGAGAAAAATGCACTGAGCTCAGGGGTGCTGGGCACTCCCAGCTAGAGAGTTCACTGCAGCGGGCTGACCAGAAGACTCAGGCCTTTCACTGGGAAGATGGGGGACAGCCAGAAAGAATCTGAGGAGAGGAGTGACACAGAGATTAAATCTATGGGGATGACACAGGAAGCCTCAGAATGGAGATGAGAGGAAGGTGTCGCAGAGTCACAGTGCAGAGGGAAGAGGTGCTGCTGTCCACCTGTGGTCAGGAGGGGGCGCCACACTGTGGTCTGATACCATAGCATGTGGGGTCAAAGGAGGATGGAGGTGATGACGTGAGGGCTCTGGGAGTGGTTTCTGGAGAGTCCAGCAGTGGGGGGGTGAGGGGAGGCCCAGCAGTAGGTCCCTAGAGAGTCTCTGAAGAAGCATTCTGGGGCAGAAGGGACAGGGTCTGGAGCCCTGGAGAGCTGGGCTCCCAGAAGAGAAGACCCAGCAGCCAGGGTCTGGAGGCTCGAGGAACAAAAGTGACGCCTGGCTGAGTGTGGGCAGCAGGGACTGTCCAGGGGGGCAGCCCATCTGAGAAGGCCTTTGGAAGAGTCTGGAAGCCTGTGTGGGTCTCTGTAGTGTCTGGGCCTGACAGGCCAGGGCTCCCCCAGCTGGGGGACACACCCCCCTTCAGAACTGAATGGGCTGCTGCCTAGCAAAGCCCTTTTCCATGTCGCTGACCCCTGCTCCCAGCTAGGGCTTAGTGGCTCTGTAGAGAAAGGTTGAGAACACTAACATATTGGGGTGCTAGCTGGCATGCCCCTGGGAGTGTTAGGGAGAAACAAGGAGGGGAGAGCAGAAGGTCCAGCTCTACCTGCTCTGGGGTCCTGAGTGAGGCCTGGGCGCTGCACCCCTTCCATCAGTGTGTGGTCACCACAGGGCATGATGGAGGCTCTCCAGAACAGAGAACAAGGACACGCAAGCCCTGAGCCCAGTCACCCCTGCTTCACAGCCCTCCTTCATCTTCTGAAGGTTGACTGTAGGGTCTGATGGGTTGAGACGGGGAGGGCATCCCTGGACTCTGACTGGTCCTCCTCCTCACAGGTTGATCCCACCTCTTAACCAGTTGGAACTACTACGTAACCTCAAGAGTAAATCTGGCCTCACGTTCAGGTTAGCTCTTCTGCGGGGGGTGTGGGGGGGTCCATGCAGGGGTGGAATGAGGGGGTGTAGAGTGCACAGCCATATGAGGGGAGGAGAGAGGTCCGCGCTGAGGTGACAGGGGTTGGGGCCATGATCAGGGGGGTGCAAGTTAGGCCAGGACAATGGGAGGCCATTTAAAGAGGAGAACGGGCAGCACTGAGATGGGGAAGCATTGGGACTAGACCAGGGGAGGGGAGAGGACAGAGCTGGGATGAAGAGGTGTGCAGAGAGGTGAGGCCAGGCCAGAGGATGGGAAAGGCCCCCGGGGGGGGGGGAGAGGACAGTACTGGGGCGAGCGGTGGGAGGTAGGGGATGGGAGAGGCTAGGCTCACTCCTGGAGGGTGGAGTTGAGAGAGGCTGGGGCCTTTTATAGGTAAAAAAGTGAGAACCCAAGGTACCTGTGGGGTCACCTTTCCTAGAGAGGGTCACAAAGTTGTTCCAAGTATTGGGCTCAGTGGTGTTGGGGTGCCCCATCCCCCTCACCTCTCCACCCTCCATTCCTGCCACCCTGTCTACAATGAAAGTGTCTGTTGGTTTCTGTCTCCAAGGGAAAATTAGGTGGTCAAGAAAAATTCCATTAAAGTGAAAGACAAAACCAGAAACTGCTCATTCTGTACAGAAAATTGGTTGTGGAATTAGGCCGTGCTATTAGAGCTTTTCCCAGGCAGTAACATTTCCGTGCGGAAGTGTTTGCTCACGGCTGTGACTGACCCAAATGAGAGTTCCTCACTGTGGGGTAGGATGGGATGAGGTCTCACTGCTCTGGGCCCTCTCCCTGGGCCCTGCCTCTGGCCCTGCTATCATCCCCAGAGCCTGGGGCGTTTCCATGGCTTCCTGGTCGGCTCAGAGCCCCTCACTGGGATGTGGAGCTGGCTTCATGCCTGAGGTCTGGGCTGACCACTGGATCCTAGGTGGCTTTTAGGGGAAGTGTCATCTTGACCACTGGGCTGAACTTGAGGTGTGACTCGGTGGGCTGAAGACTGACGACCCTCTTGTTTCTTTCTTTAAAGGAAAGAGCCTCAGCCAGAGCCCTCGCCCAGGTTGGTACCTCTTCCATGCTGGTGTGCTGTCGTGTGTGTGAGGTGTGCTCTGTCACGTGTGTGAGGTGTGCTCTGTCACGTGTGTGAGGTGTGCTCTGTCAGGTGTGTGAGGTGTGCTCTGTTGTGTGTGTGAGGTGTGCTCTGTCATGTGTGTGTGAGGTATACTCTGTTGTGTGTTTGAGGTGTGCTGTCATGTGTGTGAGGTGTGCTCTGTCACGTGTGTGAGGTGTGCTCTGTCATGTGTGTATGAGGTGTGCTCTGTTGTGTGTGTGAGGTGTGCTCTGTCATGTGTATGAGGTGTGCTCTGTCATGTGTGTGTGAGGTATACTCTGTTGTGTGTTTGAGGTGTGCTGTCATGTGTGTGAGGTGTGCTCTGTCGCGTATGTGAGATGTGCTCTGTCACGTGTGAGGTGTGCTCTGTCATGTGTGTGAGGTGTGCTCTGTCATGTGTGTGAGGTGTGCTCTGTCACGTGTGTGTGTGAGGTATACTCTGTTGTGTGTGTGAGGTGTGCTGTCGTGTGTGAGGTGTGCTCTGTCGTGTGTGTGAGGTGTGCTCTGTCACGTGT